CCTACTCACTCACCCACTCACTCACCCACTCACTCACCCACTCAACCACTCACCCACTCACTCACTAACCTACTTACCCACTCACCCATCACTCCATCTCTTCTCCAGCCTGTGCCTTGCCCGTTTAGCCCCCTCTATGCAGCCAAACAGAAGCTGTTTAGGCATGCGGTGGCTGGGCATGCGGGCTACATGACCCAGCCAATGCAGGCTTGCCTGCCGGAGGAACTCACCAAAGGGACTTTGTCCAGATCTTTCAAGGATTTGTAAACTCCTCACACAATCCAGACTGCAGGTTAAACCCAAGATGGATCGTCGGCAGGGCCAACCTCAATGTTTCTAACTGGCGACGATGTTCCATTAGGGCAGTCCACGTTTCACAAGCATAGAGAAGGGAGGGAATGACCGTGGCCGAAAAGACCCGAAGCTTCGTGCGGAGCGACAGACCAGGTAGCTTGCACACAGTGTTACGCAACCGATGAAAAGATAATGCCGCTCGACTGATGCAGAGTCGGTCATGAGCACACTGCCCAGGTATGGGAAACTCTCCACTCTCTCCACAACTGCCCCATTACCAATATGGAGTTGTGGGGGTGGAGTATACCGATGGTACAAAATACCCAGGCAGGTGCTTCGTTTTAGTGGGGCTGATGGTAAATCCCCACCTCTTAGTGGCAAGCACCAGGTTCAGCAGCAGCGCCTCCAACTCCTTCTCTGAGTGAGCCGCAATTACCAGGTCATCGGCATACATAACGTAGTTGTTCAATAGGGAGCCATCCCTTGACCGCACCCGGGCATCGATCAGCCTCCCATTGTATCTGTACCAGATGGAAATTCCTCCAGTACAGCCATTGAAGGCTTGATGAACTACGTGGTCGAAATATAAGTTAAACAATGTGGGAGCCAGAGGACATCACTGTCGCACCCCAAGGTGAAAAGGGAATGGCTCCGACTCCCCCCCCCCCCCCCCCCACGTAGTTTTACTCGGGCCCGCTCACCATCATGAAGGTCCTTAATGACAGATAGCAGCGGGTCAGGGACTCTGAAAGCACGAAGAACAACCCAGAGCCCAGGCCTACTGATGGTATCTTAGGCCTTGACCAGGTCAATAAAGCAGAGATGTAGGTCTTGTTGGAATTCCCTACACCTCTGTTGTAGCAGACGGACAGAAAATATTGCATCTGTGCAGGACCGCTCTTTCCTGAAACCGCATTGGCTCCGCAAGCCTCTCCTCAGCGTGCCTAGCAAGGCGATGTTGAATAATCCTTGCCAGGACCTTTCCCGGCACACTTAGGAATGAGATGCCCCTGTAGTTGTTACAGTCTGTGCGGTCTCCCTTCTTAAAGAGGGGGACGACCAGGGCATCCTTCCAATCCTGCGGAACACAGACACACACACACAGACACACACACACACAGACACACACACAGACACACACGCACAGACACACACACACAGACACACACACAGACATGTGGTGCGTGGTACCGATTCAATGCTTTAGCCGGGGAGTGCCTACTTACCTATTGACCTATTCACTCACCTACTCACTCACCTACTCCCTCACTTACTCACCCACTCACCCACCTACTCAACCACTCACTCAATTACTCACTCACCTACTCACATACTCACCCACATACTAACCCACTCACCCTCTCACCCACTTACTCACCTACTCACCTACGCACACACCTACTCACCCACTCACCCACCCACTTACCCACTCACCCACTCATTCACCTACTCACCCACTCACTCACCCACTCACCTACTCACCCTCTCACCCACCTACTCATTTACTCATCCAATCACACACCAACCCACTCACCCACTCACCCACTCACCTACTCACCCTCTCACCAACCTACTAATTTACTCATCCAATCACACATCCACCCACCCACTCACCCAACCACTCACCCACTCAATCACCCAGTCAACAACAACAACCGATTGTGCCAAGCTAGGTGCACCTTGAGGCCATGCGAAGTGTCAAAGTCTCACTGGCTGGAGGTCACTGGACAGACCCAGCAGGTGCCACGGGTCGACAAACTGAGTCATCTCAGTCAGTCCAACCACCCAATCGCCCACCCACTCACCCACCCACTCATCTACTCACCCACCCACCCAACCGCCCACTCATCCACTCACCTACTCACCCACTCACCCACCCACTCACCCACCGACTCACCCACGCACCCACCCACCCACTCACCTACTCTCTCACCCACCTACTCACCCACCTACTCACCCAAAAAACTCACTCACCTAACCACACACACACACAAAGACACTCACCCAAACACACACAGACACGCACAGGTGGTGAATGGTACCGGGTTAATGTTTCACTCGAGAGCACCTACTCACCTACTCACCTATCTACTCACCTATCCACTCACCTACTCACTCACTCACCTACCTACCCATACACACACAGACAAAGACGCAGACAAAGACCCCCCGTGTAGCCTTTACAGACTGTCGGGGCAAGTGCTGTTAGCAAGCACCTATGAAGGCCGGAACGGTACACGAGGGGGTGGGTGGCCAGCACCACGCCCGACCGCCTTTGTCTCCCTAGTGGCAATGTTTACACACCGCACCAGGTACTCATTTGAGGCTGAGTCGACCTAGGGGAGGCCCGGGACCGGTCCAGATAATCGTCACTGGTGTTGGCCGTGAGCAGGAATCGAACTCGTGACGCCGGGTTCATAGCGCAGCGCACTAACCGCTGCAGCGTAGCGCTATCCACTACACTACCACTCACACACAGACACACACAGACACAAACACGCAGACACCTACACACACACAGACACACACACACAGACACACACAGACATACATTGACACACACAGACAGACACCCACACACACAGACACACACACACAGACACAAACACACAGACACCCACACACCCACAGACACCCACACACACACCCACACACACAGACAGACACAGACACACACAGACACACACGGACACACACACACACAGAGACACACGGACACACACAGACACCCACACACACACACAGACACACACACACAGACACCCACACACACACGGACACACACACAGACACACACACACAGACACACACAGATACACACACACACGGACAGGTGGTGAATGGTACCGGGTTAATGTTTAGCTCGGGGTGGGAGGTGCACTGCCGATAACGAGAGGGGTATTGGTGGGGGGGTGTTGGTGGGTGGGTGAGTGGGTGACTGGGTGGGTGAGTGGGTGGGTGGGTGGGTGAGTGAGTGAGTGGGAGGGTGAGTGGGTGAGTGGTTGAGTGGGTGACTGGGTGGGTGAGTGGGTGGGTGGGTGAGTGGGTGAGTGGGTGACTGGTTGGGTGAGTGGGGTGGGTGGGTGAGTGGGTAAGTGGGTGGGTGAGTGGGTGGGTGAGTGGGTGGGTGAGTGGGTGGGTGAGTAGGTGACTGGATGGGTGAGTGGGTGGGTGAGTGGGTGAGTGGGTGGGTGAGTGGGTAAGTGGGTGGGTGGGTGAGTGATTGAGTGAGTGGGTGGATGGGTGAGTGAGTGGGTGAGTGGGTGAGTGAGTGGGTGAGTGGTTGGGTGGGTGAGTGGGTGAGTGAGTGGGTGAGTGGGTGACTGGGTGAGTGAGTGGGTGAGTGAGTGGGTGGGTGGGTGAGTGGGTGAGTAGGGTGGGTGCGTGAGTGGGTGAGTGGGTGAGTGGGTGACTGGGTGGGTGAGTGGGTGGGTGAGTGGTTGGATGGGTGAGTGGGTGAGTGAGTGGGTGAGTGGGTGACTGGGTGGGTGAGTGAGTGGGTGACTGGGTGGGTGAGTGGGTGAGTGGGTGAGTGAATGGGTGGGTGAGTGAGTGAGTGAGTGGGTGAGTGGGTGGGTTAGTGAGTGAGTGGGTTGGTGAGTGAGTGGGTGAGTGGGTGGGTGAGTGAATGGGTGGGTGAGTGAGTGGGTGAGTGGGTGGGTGGGTGAGTGAATGGGTAGGTGAGTGAGTGGGTGAGTGAGTGGGTGAGTGGGTGGGTGAGTGGGTGGGTGGGTGGGTGAGTGAGTGGGTGAGTGGGTGGGTGAGTGAATGGGTGTGTGAGTGGGTGAGTGGGTGAGTGAATGGGTGGGTAGGGGGTGAGTGAGTGGGTGGATGGGTTAGTGGGTGACTGGGTGGGTGAGTGGGTGAGTGAGTGGGTGAGTGGGTGACTGGGTGGCTGAGGGGTGAGTGGGTGAGTGAGTGGGTGGGTGAGTGAGTGGGTGAGTGGGTGGGTGAGTGAGTGGGTGAGTGGGTGGGTGAGTGAGTGAGTGAGTGGGTGAGTGGGTGGGTGAGTGAATGGGTAGGTGAGTGGGTGACTGGGTGAGTGGGTGACTGGGTGGGTGAGTGGGTGACTGGGTGGGTGAGTGGGTGAGTGAGTGAGTGGGTGGGTGGGTGAGTGGGTGACTGGGTGGGTGAGTGGGTGACTGGGTGGGTGAGTGGTTGACTGGGTGAGTGAGTGGGTGAGTGGGTGGGTGAGTGACTGGGTGGGTGAGTGGTTGACTGGGTGAGTGGGTGACTGGGTGGGTGAGTGGTTGACTGGGTGGGTGAGTGGGTGACTGGGTGGGTGAGTGGGTGGGTGGGTGAGTGGGTGGGTGAGTGGGTGAGTGGGTGACTGGGTGAGTGGGTGAGTGAATGGGTGGGTGAGTGGGTGAGTGGGTGGGTGAGTGGGTGGGTGGGTGAGTGGGTGAGTGAGTGGGTGACTGGGTGGGTGAGTGGGTGAGTGGGTGAGTGAGTGGGTGGGTGGGTGAGTGGGTGACTGGGTGGGTGAGTGGGTGACTGGGTGGGTGAGTGGGTGGGTGAGTGGGTGACTGGGTGGGTGAGTGAGTGGGTGACTGGGTGGGTGAGTGGCTCAATGATTAACGAGGAGAGGGGGGCCAAGGTCTCTCGCTGTGGAGTTCGAACGTCAGCCCCTACACCCCCCACCACACCCCCCACCTCACCCCCCACCTCACCCCCCCCCCACCCCCCCACCTCACCCCCCCACCTCACCCCCCCACCACTGAGTGAGGAGTTGAGGGGTCTTCCTCGCCGCTGTCGCCCTCACAAATCGCGTGTTGATTAGCGGAGCGGAGAGACCCTCGCCAGCACCACCAGAGAAATCTCCCGGCTCTCGCCAAATTAACCAGGTGGGGGTGGTCGTGTGTCATGTGTGTGTCATGTGTGTGTCATGTGGTGTGTGTCATGTGGTGTGTGTCATGTGTGTGTCGTGTTTGTGGTGTGTGTCATGTGTGCGGTGTGTGTGTGTCATGTGTCAGTCGTGTATGTGGTGTGTGTGTGTCATGTGTGTGTCATGTGTGTGGCGCGTGGGTCATGTGTGATGTGTGTGGCGTGTGGCGTGTGTGTGGTGTGTCATGTGTGGTGTCATGTGTGTCGTGTGTAATGTTTGTGTCATGTGTGGTGTGTGAATGGGCTGTGATGTGTGTGTTGTGTGTGTGATGTGTGTAGTGTGTGTTTCATGTGTGTGGTGTGTGTGTGGTGTGTGTGATGTGTGTTGTGTGTGATGTGTGTCATGTGTGTTTCATGTGTGTGTGGTGTGTGTGGTGTGTGTGTGATGTATGTGTGTGGTGAGTGTGTGTGATGTGTATATATGCCACGTGTCTGTGCATGAGTGTGTGTGAGTGAGTGTGTCCGTGTGTGTGAGTGAGTGAATGTTTGAGTGTGTGAGTGAGTGAGTGTGTGAGTGAGTGGATGTGTGAGTGAGTGAGTGGATGTGTGGGGGTGTGAGTGAGTGTGAGCGAGTGAGTGTGTGAGTGAATGTTTTAGTGTCTGAGTGAGAGAGTGTGTGAGTGAGTGGGTGAGTGGGTGACTGAACATCTGGATTAGAAAGTCACGGAACAGCGGATGTGGGCCCATGTCCTTAACACCAGGACCAACCGTGGAGTTGATCTGCCCACTGACCATGGACTTGTCATCTGTAACATGCGCCTGCCATTCTTCCACTCCGGTGGTGGGTGTACACCCAGGACCCCATTCAAACCCTTAGTGGCCTGGTCTCAGCTCGCTGATGAAAGTTTCAAGCGAGAATGTCATCATCGCTTGCGGCTGGGCTTGGCATCGTCCCCCACTCCTCCTGATGTCGAGGGGAAATGAGCGAAGCTTAGGACTGTAGCTCATGCAGCTGCAATGTCTGCTTTGGGTAAACGTTCCAGACCTCCCCAGAGACCCTGGCTGAGAGTGGAGGTGTTCAGGCTGGCTGAGAAAAATCGACAGGCCCACTCTAATCGTCTACAGCATCCCACTTCAGAGAATGAGGAGGCTTACCGCAGCCTTCGTTCAGAGCTTCGGAGAGCCGTGAGGCGCTGCAAGGATGGGTGGTCGTCGCGGGTTGCTGAGGAGATGGAGTCTGCCTCAGTGGCCCGTGATCACAAATCGCTCTTTAACTCCATCAAAAAAGAAACCTGCAGCCTCACACCTATTACCATCATTAGGGGAAGGAACGGTGATCCAATCTCCGACCCCCAGTAACAGGTTTGCAGATTTGCTGAGCATTTCAGAGGTCCTGGGGGAGGGGACATCCCTCAGCTTGGATAACAACGTGGGACAAAGTGGGGATGACCCTGCCGAGGCTGCGGTGCCTCAAATATTGGAATAAGTCACCCCCTGTGAGTGGCTGGCTGAGGTGCCATCTGTTGAGGAAGTACTGAAGGCGATCCGGAGTCTGAGACCAGGAAAGGCACCGGGCAGAGATGATCTCCCAAGTGAAATGCTGAGGGAGGGTGGCGTTTGTGCACAGACTGCCCTACATGACATCATAACAGTCTGGACCACTGCACGTGTTCCGCAGGACTGGAAGGATGCCCTGGTGGTCCCCCTCTTTAAGAAGGGGGACCGCACAGACTGTAACAACTACAGGGGCATCTCACTCCTCAGTGTACCGGGAAAGGTCCTGGCAAGGATTATTCAACATCGTTTTGCTAGGCACGCTGAGAAGAGGCTTGTGGCGCCCCAATGCGGTTTCAGGAAAGGGCGGTCCTGCACGGATGTCATATTTTTTGTCCGTCTCCTGCAGCAGAGGTGTAGGGAATTCCAACAAGACCTTCAAGTTTCAAGTTTATTTATTAGGTATAGCCCTCTGAGCCATCTAAATCTCTGCTTTATTGAACTGGTCAAGGCCTATGACATCCACAGTAGGCCTGGGCTCTGGGTTGTTCTTCGTGCTTTCTGAGTCCCTGGCCCTCTGCTCACGCTCATTAAGGACCTTCATGATGGTGAGCAGGCCCGGGTAAAACTACGTGGCAGGGAGTCGGAGCCATTCGCTGTACACCTTGGGGTGCGACAGGGATGTCTTCTGGCTCCCACATTATTGAACATCTATTTTGACCAGGTAGTTTATGAGGCCTTAAATAGCTGTACCAGAAGAATTTCCATCTGGTACAGATACAATGGGAGGTTGATCGATGCTCGGGTGTGGTCAAGGAATGGCTCCCTATTGGTCAACCATGTTATGTATGCTGATGATCTGGAAATCGCTGCTCACTCAAAGGAGGAGTTGGAGGTGCTGCTTCTGAAACTGGAGTGTGCCACTAAGAGGTGGGGCCTTACCATCAGCCCCACCAAAACGAAGCACCTGCCTGGGTAATTTGTACCATCGGACACTCCACCCCCACAACTCCCAATCGGCGATAGGGCAGTTGTGGAGAGAGTGGAGAGTTTCTCCATACCTGGGCAGTGTGCTTATGACTGGCTCCGGTTTAACAGTAGAGGTCTCACTCCGAATCAGTCAAGCGGCATTATTTTTTCATCGGTTGCGTAACGCTGTGTAGAAGCTACCTGGTCTGTCGTTCCACACGAAGGTTCAGGTCTTCTCGGCCAGTCACTCCCTCCCTTCTCTACGCTTGCGAAACGTGGACCCCCCTAGTGGAGCATCTTCGCCGGTTATAAACATTTAGGCTGGCTTGCCTACGATCCATCCTGGGTTTAACCAGGCTGGATTGTGTGCGGAGCTCACAAATCCTTGAAAGATCTGGACAAAGTCCCATCGGTGAGCTCCTCCGGCAGGCAAGGCTGCGTTGGCTGGGTCATGTAGCCCGCTTGCCCAGTCACCGCATGCCTAAACAGCTTTTATTCGGCTGTATCGAGGAGGCTAAATGGGCGCGGCATGGGCTAGAGAAGAGATGGAGTGACGTGGTACAGTAGGATGTGGAGCTGAGTGGACTTGCCGATGACTGGTACCAGCGGTGTCAAGATCGGTTTCTGTGAAGGAGGCTCGTGAAGGACCCTACTGGGCAATTGGAGGCAGTCGCCTTCCAAAAACAACGGAGGGCAGAGGAGCGATGCTCAAAACAATGATCGGAGTGCCGGGCGGCTAAAGCACAGTTGGCACAGTAGGGGGCACAGGTGGTGCATCAGCCAGTCATGTCAATCGACCCGTCGCACCTGGGTCTGCCCCGTGACCTCCTGCCAGCGTGGCCTCAAGGTGCACATAGCCTGGCACAAGCGTCGTGGTGACATCACCGCGACTTAGTGGCGAATGGCGGTTGTTGTTGTTGAGGTAGTTGCAGTGGGTAGCGCTTCGCTGCGCTATGAACCCGGCGACCCGAGTGACGATTCTTTGAACCGGTCCTGGACTTCCCCTAGGTCGACTCAGCATCAAATGAGTACCTGGTGTAGCGGTGTAGTGTTGTGGTGGTGGTGGTGTAGTGATGGTGGTGATGTAATCGTGGTGGTGGTGCAGCGGTGTTGGTGGTGATGGTGTAGTGGTGGTGGTGTAGCGGTGTTGGTGTAGTGAGCATCGCTAGCACTGGGGGAGAGACAAAGGCGGCCGGGCGTGGTGGTGGCCACCCACCCCCTCTGTGTGCCACAGTGCCGGTAGCCTTCATAGGTGCTGCTGCTACTCGCTACTAACATCACTTGCCCCTACAGCCCGCTAGAGGCTACACGGGGGATCTTTGTCTGTGTATACGGTCTCAATGTATCTCTGTGGGTCTCCATGGGTCTTTGTGGATTTATATGTGTCTATATGGGTCTCTTTGGGTGTCTGTGGGTCTCTGTGGATCTGTGGGTCTCTGTGGGTCTGTGGGTTTCTATATGAGTCTCTGAGTATGGGTCTCCATGAATGTCTATGTATCTCAATGGGTCTCTATGTGTCTCCATGTAGTTTTATGTATCTCTATGGGTCTCCATGGTTATCTATGGGTCTCTGTGGGTCTCAGTGGGTCTCTTTGTATCTTCATGTATATCTATGTATCTCTATGGGTCTCTGGGAATCTCTATGGGTCTCTATGTATATTTACATATCTCTATACATCTATATGAGTCTCTATGTGTCTCTGTAGGTCTCTGTGTATCTTGATGTACCTCTGTGGATATATATCATATGATGTATTAATTTTTTGTTTTATTTTGTTTTATTTTTCTACCTACGTGAGTGAGTGGGTGGGTGAGTGAAAGAAACAAAGCGTATGGATTCCTGCAGTCACGAAAGCTTCAAATCAAGATAAACATGGTTTAGTTTTGGTATGGGTCTCGATGAGTATGGGTCTCTATGGGTCTTTGTGAGTCTGTGTGGGTCTGTGTGGGTCTATACGAGTTTCTGGATATTTGTGGGTCTCTATATGGGTCTCTGTGGGTCTCTGTGTATCTCTGTGGGTCTCTGTGGGTCTCTGTGGGCTTCTGTTGGTTTCCGTGGGTCTCTGTGGGTCTGTGGGTCTCTGTGGGTCTCTATGTATCTCTGTGGGTCTGTGTGGGTCTATAAGAGTTTCTGGATCTTTGTGGTTCTCTATATGAGTATCTGTGTATCTCTATGGGTCTTTGTGTGTCTCTGTGTATCTGTGTGGGTCTTTGTGTCTCTCTGTGGGTCTCTATGTATCTCTATGGGTCTCTGTGGGTCTCGCTTTGTGTATCTCTGTGGGTCTCTGTGTATCCCTGTGGGTCTCTGTGTATCTATGTGAGTCTCTGTGTATCCCTGTGGGTCTCTGTGTATCTGTGTGGGTCTTTGTGTGTCTCTGTGTATCTCTGTGCGTCTCTGTGGGTGTATGTGGGTCTGTATGGGTCTCTACGAATCTCTGGATCTTCTTGGGTCTTTGTGTGTCTCTGTGTGTCTCTGTAGTTCTTTGTGGGTCTTTGTGGGTCTCTGTGGGTCTCTGTGGGTGTCTGTGGGTCTCTGTGTATCTCTGTGGCTCTTTGTGTGTCTCTGTGGGTCTCTGTGGGTCTTTGTGGATCTCTGTGTATCTTTGTGCGTCGCAGTGTGTCTCTGTAGGTGTCTGTGGGTCTATGTGGGTATATAAGAGTCTCTGGATCTTCGTGGGTCTCTATATGTGTTTGTTGGTCTCTGTGTTTCTCTGTGGGTCTCTGTGGGTCTCTGTGTGTCTCTGTGGGTCTCTGTGTATCTATGTGGGTATCTGTGTATCTCTGTGGGTCTCTGTGGGTCTTTGTGGGTTTGTGTATCTCTGTGCGTCTCTGTGTGTCTCTGTGAATCTCTGTGTGTCTGTGGGTCTTTGTGTGTCTATGTGTGTTTCTGTGTATCTCTGTGGATCTCTCTGGGTCTCTGTGTATCTCTGTGGGCCTCTGTGGGTCTCTGTGGGTCTCTGTGTGTCTCTGTTGGTCTCTGTGGTCTCTGTGTATCTGTGGGTCTCTGTGGGTCTCTGTGTGTCTGTGTGGGTCTCTGTGAGTCTCTGTGTGTCTGTGTGGGTCTCTGTGGGTCTCTGTGTGTCTGTGGGTCTCTGTGGGTCTCTGTGTGTCTATGTGGGTCTCTGTGGGTATCTGTGTGTCTGTGGGTCTGTGTGGGTCTATACGAATCTCTGGATCTGTGTGGGTCTCTATATGGGTCTCTATATGGGTCTCTGTGGGTCTCTATAAGGGTATATATATGTGGTTATTTACGTATCTATATTGAGGAGAGAGAGGTTAGAGGCAGAGAAAGAGAGACAGAGAGAAGGGGAGAGAGAGAGGAGATAGAGAGAGAGGAGAGAAGGGGGGGAGAGGGATCCTGCCCCAGAGAAGCGTCGTGATGTGAGTTCGACTCTGAGCAGGCGAGGTCACGGGTCCAAGGTGAGGTTCGAGACAGCCCGAGAGAGATAGAGAGAGGGGAGAGAGAGGGGAGAGAGATGAGAAAGATGAGAGAGAGATCAGCGAGAGATGAGCGAGAGGTGAGAGAGATGAGAGAGATGAGAGAGAGATGAGAGAGATGAGAGAGCGAGGTGAGAGGGATGAGAGAGATGAGAGAGAGATGAGAGAGATGAGTGAGAGAGAGGGGAGAGAGAGGGGAAAGAGGGGAGAGAGAGGGGAGAGATGAGAGAGATGAGCGAGAGATGAGAGAGATGAGCGAGAGATGAGAGAGATGAGAAAGAGAGGAGGATCATGAATCATCGCCTATGGAGGCTACCGGCACTGTGGCTACACACACAGTGGGGTGGTGTGGCCAGCACCACCACGCCCGGCCGCCTTTATCTCTCCCCCAGTGCTAGCGATGTTTACTACACCACCACCATCACCACTACACCACCACCACACCACCACTACACCACCACCACCGCTACACCACCATCACCATCACCACCATCACCATCACCACCATCACCACCACCATTACCACCACCATCACCACCACCATCATCACCACCATCACCACCACCACCATCACCATCACCACCATCACCACCTTCACCACCATCACCACCATCACCACCCTCACCACCACCATCATCGCCACCATCACCACCATCACCACCATCACCTCACCATCACCACCATCACCACCATCACCACCACCATCACCACCACCATCACCACCATCACCCCCACCATCACCATCACCACCATCACCACCATCACCACCATCACCACCACCATCACCCCCACCATCACCATCACCACCATCACCACCACCATCACCACCATCACCACCACCATCACCACCACCATCACCACCATCAGCAACATCACCACCCACACATCAACAGTCACTTCTCGTTATCTCTCCTGCTGAGCTGTTGGCGGGCAAAGGTCGAATACAGATAACACAGAGGGCAAAGTTACACCACCATCACCACCATCACCACCATCACCACCACCACCATCACCACCAACATCACCATCATCACTATCACCATCACTATCACCATCACCACCATCACCACCATCACCACCGTCACCAACATCACCACCACCACCATCACCACCATCACCATCACCACCATCATCACCACCATCATCACCACCATCACCACCATCACCACTACCACCCCCTACAGCCTGCTAGAGGCTACACAGGGGATCTTTGTCTGTGTGTAGGTGCTACTAACAGCACTTGCCCCTACAGCCTGTTAGAGGCTAGACGGGGGATCTTTGTCTGTGTGTACATGTATGCTGTGTGTGTATGCTGTGTGTGTGTGTGCTGTGTGTATGCTGTGTGTGTGTATGCTGTGTGTGTGCTGTGTGTGTGTATGCTGTGTGTATGCTGTGTGTGTGTAATCTGTATGATGTGTGTATGCTGTGTGTGTGTATGGTGTGTGTGTGTATGCTGTATGTTGTAGGATGTGTGTATGCTATGTGTAATCTGTGTGCGTGCTGTGTGTGTGCTGTGTGTGTAATCTGTATACTGTGTGTATGCTGTGTGTATGCTGTGTGTGTATGCTGTGTGTGTGCTGTGTTTAATCTGTATGCTGTGTGTATGCTGTGTGTGTGCTGTGTGTTTAATCTGTATGCTGTGTGTATGCTGTGTGTATGCTGTATGATGTGTGTATGCTGTGTGTGTGCTTCTGTGCCCGCAGTAACTCGAGGCGGTGATTCAGATCGTCAGGGGAAGGAACTCCGGGGAGCATCACCACCATCACCACCATCACCACGACCCTCACCATCACCACGACCATCACCACGACCCTCACCATCACCACAATCACCACGACAATCACCACCACCACCACCGCCTCCCCATCAAAATTCCGAATCAGGGACCAGAATCGAAGCAGGAATCGTGCAGAATGGATGAGAATCACGGCGACGGGGGGACCGGACCCCTCCGGGAGGGGCCCCCCACGGGGGGAGAGGCCCCCACGGGGGGAGGGGCCCCCACGGGGGGGGGGACCCCCACGGGGGGGGCCCTAAGGGGGGGAGCCCCCGCGGGGAGCCTCGCGGGGGTACAGAAGGAGGCGGAGCTGAGGGCTCTGGGCCAGCGGACGGGATACAGCATCGTGCAGGTACAGTAGTGTAGTGTATAGTGTAGTGTATAGTGTGTATAGTGTAGTGTTAGTGTAGTGTATAGTGTAGTGTATAGTAGTGTAGTGTAGTGTGTAGTGTATAGTAGTGTAGTGTAGTGTGTAGTGTATAGTGTAGTGTGTAGTGTAGTGTATAGTGTAGTGTGTAGTGTAGTGTATAGTGTAGTGTAGTGTATAGTGTAGTGTATAGTGTAGTGTGTAGTGTATAGTGTAGTGTATAGTGTAGTGTATAGTGTATAGTGTAGTGTATAGTGTAGTGTATAGTGTAGTGTGTAGTGTACAGTAGTGTAGTTGTGTAATAAAGGTCGTTGAGGGGACTTCTGGAATCCGTCTTTTATTCAACTTGTATCACGGCTTTCCTTCACGCTGCTGACCGGCAGCGTGAGAGGGATAGAGACGCACCGCCACGTGGCAACCTGGAGCCCCGCTTCCGCGTGGCCCTCTTCCTCCGTTCGTTCCCGTTCTGACCCCGTGTCGTTCGTCTCCACCCCTATTTAATACCCGTGTCATGTGGTACGTTTCCACCAGTCATGGTTAGCCTCCATGGAGTATTCCAGGCTCCCTCGTAAGTTCCCGGGACCACGCCCCTGACTCATCTCCCCATTGGCTGTGGCCAAAGCCAACAGAACCAATCCTCTATTAACAGCTGTCACCTTTCCATTACGTCAGGGCCACGCCCCTAGGCTTCCCCCCATTGGCTATAGACCAGGACCGGCAGAGCCAATCATCATGACGAGTTGTGATACGTCAGTGAGCCGGATATATCCTCACATTACAGTTGTAGTGCCATAAGAGGGGAGGGGCTGCTGGGGGCTCTGGGACCTTAGACAGATAAGCCCTTGGCGCCAGGCGCTAGGATCCCAGGCACCCCAGACAGTTAAGCCCCTTGGCGCCACCAATGGGGGGGGGGGCTGTGTGTTCTCTGTGGGATATCTGGGGGTGCACACAGCCCCACACCTCGTTGGGGACGAGGCATAAAAGGGCAGCTCCCTGGCTGATCGGGGCCAGTCGCAACTCAAGACCCAAGACCCGCCAGCCAGCCGGCTTAGGACCCTGGACCCCCTCGTCCCGCTTGTCCTTGTAAGGGCCGGGACGCTGTGAGGCCAGTGGTGGGACTCTGGGATTCCCGGCTCTACGTCCTTGTAAGGGCGAGTTCCGAGGAAGCCAGAGTCCAGACCTGCACCTTGGCTGGGTCGGGTCAGGTAGCCTCCCCTAGGGTAATTGTAGCCGGAGGACCCCAGAGCGTAGCCAGAGTAGTGTATCTAGGCTGTGTACCTAGGCTGTGTACCTAGGCTGTAACAGAGTATCAGGACTGTTGGAGTGTTGTATTGTAATAAAGAAGTTACCTCTACAAGTGTCTCCGGGAACTCATTACATAGTGTATAGTGTAGTGTATAGTGTAGTGTGTAGTAGTGTATAGTAGTGTAGTGTATAGTGTAGTGTAGTGTGTAGTGTATAGTGTAGTGTAGTGTATAGTGTAGTGTATAGTAGTGTAGTGTTTAGTGTAGTGTAGTGTGTAGTGTATAGTGTAGTGTATAGTTTAGTGTATAGTGTATAGTAGTGTAGTGTATAGTGTAGTGTGTAGTGTATAGTGTAGTGTTTAGTAGTGTAGTGTATAGTGTAGTGTATAGTGTAGTGTATAGTGTAGTAGTGTATAGTGTAGTGTATAGTAGTGTAGTGTATAGTGTAGTGTGTAGTGTAGTGTATAGTAGTGTAGTGTATAGTGTAGTGTGTAGTGTAGTGTATAGTGTAGTAGTGTATAGTGTAGTAGTGTATAGTGTAGTGTATAGTATAGTGTATAGTAGTGTAGTGTATAGTGTAGTGTATGGTGTAGTGTATAGTATAGTGTATAGTAGTGTAGTGTATAGTAGTGTAGTGTATAGTAGTGTAGTGTATAGTGTAGTGTATAGTGTATAGTAGTGTAGTGTATAGTAGTGTAGTGTTTAGTGTAGTGTATGGTGTAGTGTATAGTGTAGTGTATAGTAGTGTAGTGTATAGTAGTGTAGTGTATAGTAGTGTAGTGTATAGTAGTGTAGTGTATAGTGTAGTGTATAGTAGTGTAGTGTATAGTGTAGTGTATAGTGTAGTGTATAGTAGTGTAGTGTATAGTAGTGTAGTGTATACTAGTGTAGTGTATAGTGTAGTAGTATAGTGTAGTGTATAGTGTATAGTAGTGTAGTGTATAGTAGTGTAGTGTATAGTGTAGTGTATAGTGTAGTGGCAGTTTATTTGTATTACAAGCACACCTCTCCCATCCGCCCCCCACCACCCCACCCCCCCTGACCCCCCCCCCCAGGAGAACGGGCAGCGCAAGTTCGGGGGCCCCCCACCGGGCTGGGAGGGCCCCCCCCCCCAACGAGGCTGCGAAGTCTTCCTGGGGAAGCTGCCGCGGGACCTCTTCGAGGACGAACTCGTGCCGGTGTGCCAGAAGGTGAGGTCACAATGGGGAGGGGGGGGGGTGACGTCACAATGGGGGGGTGACGTCACAATGGAGTGGGTGCGACGTCACAAAGATGAGGGTTGCGGGGAGTTTGGGTCACGGTGTTCGAGACTACACGGGGGGGGGGTGGGGGGTGACACTGACTGTGTGTGTGTGGGGGGGGGTGTTCGAGGCTACAAGGAGGGTGTTGTTGTTGGGGGGGGGGGGTGACACTGACTGTGTGTGTGTGGGGGGGGGTGTTCGAGGCTACAAGGAGGGTGTTGTTGTTGGGGGGGGGGGGGTGACACTGACTGTGTGTGTGTGGGGGGGGGGAGGTGTTCGAGGCTACAAGAGGGTGTTGTTGGGGGTGGTGACCTTTGTCTGTGCGTCCCGTCGCAGATGGGAACGATCTACGAGATGCGGATGATGATGAACTTCAACGGAGACAATCGCGGCTTCGCCTTCGTCACGTTCACCAGCAGGCAGGAGGCACAGGAAGCGATACGCCAGCTCAACAACTACGAGATCAGGTGGGGTGTGTCTGTGTGTGTGCAGCCCATGGGCTTGTAATTACCAACACGCTGTTCCGGCATCGGCGCATCCACACCACATCATGGATGCATGCCTGGTCCAAGCAAGAACATCTGCTGGACTATGTAGTGATGGGTCAGCGGATGCGAGCCCATGTCCTTGACACCAGGACCTACCGTGGAGCTGATCTGCCCACTGACCATCGACTAGTCATCTGTAAGATGCACCTGCCATTCTTCCACTCCGGTAGTGAGTGTACACCCAAGACCCCATTCCAACCTAAGGTGGCCTGGTCTCAGATAGCTGATGAAAGCTGCAAGTGAGAATTTCATCATCGCTTGCAGCTGGGCTTGCCATCGTCCCCCACTCCTCCTGATGTCGAGGGTAAATGGGCGAGGTTTAGGACTGTGGCTCATTCAGCAGCAATGGCTGCTTTGGGTACGTGGTCCAGACTTCCAGAGTCTATGGGCAGTGTTGAGTCTATGCTGAGTCAATGGGTCTCAGTTTTGAGTCTCTCCATGCCCCCTGTTTACCACCACCCCCACACCCCCCACACCCCCCACCCCCCCACACAGGAAGGGCCGCCTTCTAGGGGTGTGTCCCAGCGTGGACAACTGCCGCCTCTTTGTGGGCGGCATCCCGAGGGGCAAAGGTCGCGAGGAGATCCGTCAGGAGGTGGCCAAGGTCACGGAGGGGGTGGTGGCGGTCATCGTCTACCCCAGCGCCAGCGACAAGGCCAAGAACCGTGGCTTCGCCTTCGTGGAGTACCGCAGTCACCGCGACGCGGCCATGGCACGCAGGAAGCTCCTGCCTGGTGGGTGGAGGTGGGTGGGTGGGTGAGTGGGTGAATGAGTGGGTGGGTGGGTGGGTAGGTGTATGAGCGAGTGGGTGGGTGAGTGAGTGGGTGAGCGAGTAGGTGAGAGAGTGGGTGGGTGGGTGGGTCGATGACCGAGTGGGTGGGTGAATGAGTGAGTGGGTGGGTGAGTGGGCGGGTGAATGAGTGGATGAGTGGGTGAATGAGTGAGTGGGCGGGCGGGTGGATGAGCAAGTGGGTGGGTGGGTGGGTGAGTGGAGGGGTGGTGTTTTGGTGTTTGGGTTGGTGGGGAGGGGGTGGGTGGTGGGTGGGTTGAGGTGCGGGTGAGTGGGAGGGGAGGGATGAGGGGGAAACCACCACCCTCACCACCACCACCTCCATCACCACCACCACCTCCACCATCACCTCCACCACACCCACCACCACGAACACCACCACCCTCACCACCACCACCACCCTCACCACCACCCCCCCCCCCACCACCACCCCCACCACCACGCTAACCACTCCACCACCACTGTACCTGTGCCAGGTCGTATCCAGCTGTGGGGCCATCCAATAGCGGTGGACTGGGCAGAGCCTGAGGTGGAGGTGGACGCTGAGACGATGGCGAGCGTCAAGATCCTCTATGTGAGAAACCTCATGCTGGGCACCACAGAGGAGACCCTCCTACAGTCCTTCAGCATCACGCCTGGTTAGTGTCCTAGAAATACACAGAGATACACAGAGACCTATAGAGACACACAGAGATACACAGAGATACACAGAGATACACAGAGATACACAGAGACACACAGAAACACACAGAGATACACAGAGATACATAGAGACTCATATAGATAGTGGAGATACACACATAGACACATAAATACAAAGATGCCCCGTATAGCCTTAACAGACTGAAGGGGCAAGTGCTGTTAGCGAGTAGCACCTATGAAAGCCGGAACAGCACATGAGGGGGTGGGTGGCCAGCAGCATGCCCGGCCGCCTTTGTCTTCTTAGCGGCGATGTTTACTACACCACCACCAACGCTACACCAGGTTCTCATTTGAGGCTGAGTTGACCTTGGGGAGGCCCAGGACCGGTTCAGATAATCGTCACTGGTGTTGGCCGTGAGTGGAAATCAAACTCGGGTCGCCAGGTTCATAGCACAGCGTAGCGCTACCCGCTACACTACCACTCCCCACATACATACACACTCACACAAGTACATACACATACACACATATACACACACATACACATACACACACACATACACACACACACACACACAAAACAACACCGGTCTTCCGCAGGAGCGGTGGAGCGAGTGAAAAAGATCCGGGACTACGCCTTCATCCACTTCGGCAAGCGGGAGGAAGCCCTCAAGGCGATGGAAGTGATGAACGGGAAGGTGAGCTCCCTGCCGCCAATCAACAGACGTGCCAGTTCGACGCTCGGCAGAAAAGAGCTGTGGGTGAAGGAGAAAGCTGTGGGTGAAGGAGAGAGCTGTGGGTGAAGGAGGGAGCTGTGGGTGAAGGAGAGAGCTGTGGGTGAAGGAGGGAGATGTGGGTGAAGGAGGGAGCTGTGGGTGAAGGAGGGAGCTGTGGGTGAAAGAGAGAGCTGTGGATGAAGGAGTGAGCTGTGGGTGAAGGAGGGAGCTGTGGGTGAAGGAGGGAGCTGTGGGTGAAGGAGAGAGCTGTGGATGAAGGAGGGAGCTGTGGGTGAAGGAGGGAGCTGTGGGTGAAGGAGAGAGCTGTGGGTGAAGCAGAGAGCTGTGGGTGAAGGAGGGAGCTGTGGGTGAAGGAGGGAGCTGTGGATGAAGAAGTGAGCTGTGGGTGAAGGAGGGAGCTGTGGGTGAAGGAGGGAGCTGTGGGTGAAGGAGAGAGCTGTGGGTGAAGGAGGGAGCTGTGGGTGAAGGAGAGAGCTGTGGGTGAAGGAGAGAGCTGTGGGTGAAGGAGGGAGCTGTGGGTGAAGGAGGGAGCTGTGGATGAAGGAGAGAGCTGTGGTTGAAGGAGAGAGCTGTGGGTGAAGGAGAGAGCTGTGGGTGAAGGAGAAAGCTGTGGGTGAAGGAGAGAGCTGTGGGTGAAGGAGGGAGCTGTGGGTGAAGGAGGGAGCTGTGGGTGAAGGAGAGAGCTGTGGGTGAAGGAGAGAACTGTGGGTGAAGGAGAGAGCTGTTGGTGGAGGGAGCTGTGGGTGAATGAGAGAGCTGTGGGTGAAGGAGGGAGCTGTGGGTGAAGGAGGGAGCTGTGGATACATGAGGGAGGTGACCGTCGCTCTGCGCCCTCCCCAGCACCTCGACGGCTCTCCCATCGAGGTGACGCTGGCCAAGCCGGTGGACCGCGATAGCTACGTCCGCTACACACGCGGAGCGGGCAGCCGCAGCTCCATGCTGCAGCAGGTGACACACAGAGACACACACAGAGATACACAGAGATACACAGACACACAAACACACAGACACACACAGAGACACACAGAGATACACACACAGACACACGCAGAGATACACAGAGATACACAGAGACACACAGAGACACAGACACACACACAGAGATACACAGAGACACACAGAGACACAGAGACACACAGAGACACAGAGACACAGAGAAACAGAGACACACAGAGATACACAGACACACAGACACAGAGACACAGAGAAACAGAGACACAGAGACACACAGATAACTATAGAGACACACAGAGATACACACAGAGACACACACAGACACACAGAGACACACAGAGACACACATATAACTATAAAGACACACAGAGATACACACAGAGACACATACACACACAGAGACACACAGAGACACACAGATAACTATAGAGACACACAGAGATACACACAGAGACACACACAGACACACAGAGACACACAGAGAGAGACATAGACCCATAGAGATGCACAGATACACACAGAGACCCATTAGAGGTACACAGAGACCCATCGACTAAACCAACGAGCTGCACTATTTGAGATTTCCTGGGCCATAACGACTCCATAGAGGCTCCACCACGTGACTCATATCAACATCATCACCACCATCACCATCATCACCATCACCACCATCGACATCAACATCATCACCACCATCACCATCATCACCATCACCACCATCACGACCATCACCACCACCATCACCACCATCACGACCATCACCACCACCATCACCATCACCACCATCACCACCATCACGACCATCACCATCACCACCATCGACATCATCACCATCACCACCACGTGGACATTCATAAGGCGTCTGTCTCCCTTGCCCCGCCCCCTTTTCGCCCCTCCCCATCTTGCCCACCCCTCCCCCCTCCTCCCCCCCTTCATCCCCCCCCTTCACCCTCACCCCGCCCCTCCCCATCTTGCCCACCCCCCCACCCCCCTTCACCCCCCGCCCCTCCCCGTACAGGCCCAGGCCGAGTGCTTTGGCTTCTACAGCGTCGGGGGCAGCGCTGTTGGGGGCGGGGCCCTGGGGGTGTTCGACTCCTCCCCCACGGGAGGCCCCTCCCCCTACCTGGGCCCGCCCGTCTACTACACCACGGCCCCTCCTCCCCCCCACCACCACCACCACTACGGGGGAGGGGGCGTGGCTATGGGGGGAGGGGCGCACCCCCACGTGGTGTCCGGGGTGGGGGTGGCCGCTGCACGTGGGCAGGGGAACTGCAGGGGGGGGGTCCTGGTGGCTCGCGCGCTCAGAGGTGGGGTGGTGGGGGGTGTGGGTGGGGGGTGAGTGAGTGGGGGGGTGGGGGTGTGTGAGTGGGGGGGTGAGTAGGCGGGTGAGTGGGTGGGTGAGCGGGTGAGTGGGTGAGTGGGTAGGGGGTTGGGAGGTGAGTGAGTGGGTGGGTGAGTGGGTGAGTGTGTGAGTGAATGAATGAGTGAGTGAATGAGTGAGTGAATGAGTGAGTGAATGAGTGGGTGAGTGAGTGAGTGGGTGAGTGGGTGAGTGGGTAGGGGGTTGGGAGGTAAGTGGGTGAGTGTGTGAGTAAATGAATTAGTGAGTGAATGAGTGAGTGAATGAGTGACTGAATGAGTGGGTGAGTGAGTGGGTGAGTGGGTGAGTGAGTGGGTGAGTGGGTAGGGGGTTGGGAGGTGAGTGAGTGGGTGAGTGAATGAATTAGTGAGTGAATGAGTGGGTGAGTGAATGAGTGGGTGAGTGAATGAGTGGGTGAGTGAGTGGGTGGGTAAGTGGGTGAGTGTGTGAGTGAGTTAGTGGGTGGGTGAGTGTGTGTGAGTGGGTGAGTGTGTGAGTGAATGAGTGAATGAATGAGTGACTGAATGAGTGAGTGAATGAGTATCCCATCACCCCGTATTCCCATCCAGGAGCTGCAGGCTGTCGGGGTCTCGCCGGAGGCCGTGGGGGCTACCCCCAGGTCCAGGGGTCTGGAACGGGGGGCACGGGGAGAGCCTCTCAGGGGGGTGGAGGGGGTGGAGGAGGGGGTGGAGGGGGTGGAGCTGGGAGGGGGTCACGTGGGGGTCGCGTGGAGCCGCGCGTCTTTGACCTCCTGCCCGGCATGGAGCTGACCCCGACGAATCCTGCATCAGTGCGCGTGCAAGGAGCGGCTCGGAGTCCCACACAGGTGGCGTCTGTGTGTGTCTGTGTGTGTCTGTGTGTGTGTGTCTGTGTGTGTGTCTGTGTGTGTGTCTGTGTGTGTGTCTGTGTGTCTGTGTGTGTGTCTGTGTGTGTGTCTGTGTGTCTGTGTGTGTGTGTCTGTGTGTGTGTCTGTGTGTGTCTGTGTGTCTGTGTGTGTGTCTGTGTGTGTGTCTGTGTGCGTGTCTGTGTGTCTGTGTGTCTGTGTGTGTGTCTGTGTCTCTGTGTCTCTGTGTCTCTGTTTGTGTCTGTGTGTCTGTGTGAGTCTCTGTGTGTGTCTGTCTCTGTGTGTATCTCTGTGTGAGTCTATGCGTGTCTCTGTGTGTCTCTGTCGTGTCTCTGTGTGTATCTCTGTGTGTCTCTGCATGTCTCTGTCGTGTCTTTATGTCTCAGCTTCTAGAGGAGCTATGCCAGACTAACAGCTGGGGACAGCCGATCTACCAGCTGCACTCTGCCGTGTCTCCAGACCAGCGACAACTTTTCCTCTACAAAGTCGCAATCCCGGCACTCGCAAGCCAGCTGGCACACACGTGAGGAGACGCACCCAGTCACTCACCAATTCACTCAGCTAATCAGTCAGCGAGTCACTCAGCCAGTCACTCAGCCAGTCACTCAACCAGTCACTCAGCAAGTCACTCAGCAAGTCACTCAGTCACTCAGCCAGTCACTCAGCTAGTCACTCAGCAAGTCACTTACCAAGTCACTCACCAAGTCACTCAGACAGTCACTCAGCCATATCACTCACCAAGTCACTCAGCCAGTCACTCAGCGAGTCACTCAGCCAGCCACTATCCCCCCCCCCCCCACTATTCCCCCCACCATCTCCCCACCCCACTCCCCCCACCATCTCACCACCCCCACTATTCCCCCCACAATATCACCCCCCCCCCACCATCTCATCACCCCCCCCACTATCTCACCACCACCCCCACTATTCCCACCACCATCTCACCCCCCCCCCCCCCACTATTCCCCCATCTCACCCCCCTCCCACACGATTCCCCCACCACCTTACCACCCCCCCCCCCCACCCCACTATTCTCCCCACCATCTCCCCCCCCCCACTATTCCCCCCACCATCTCTCCCCCCCCCCCCACTATTCCCCCATCTCACCCCCCCCCCCACACGATTCCCCCCACCACCTTACCACCCCCCCCCCACCCCACTATTCTCCCCACCATCTCTCCCCCCCCACCCCCCCCCCACTATTCCCCCACCACCAGGCACCCGTTCCAGCCCAGCAAGTTGTGTGTCTCTGTGGAGGAGGCGAAGTTGCTGGCGGCAGACCACGTGGTGCAGACGCTATGCATGCCGGGAGGCAGCGTTGGCCACGCCCTTCCGGGGGAGGCCGACCACGTGGTGCAGGCGCTGTGCATGCCGGGAGGCAGCGGTGGCCACGCCCTTCCGGGGGAGGCCGACCACGTGGTGCAGGCGCTGTGCATGCCGGGAGGGAGCGGTGGTCACGCCCCCCCTGGGGAGGCCGCGGGAAACTTCGCGGGTATGTGAGGTCGGTACGCGCAGAGACACGTACACACACAGATACATACACACAGACATAGATACATAGATACAGACACACACAGATACATACACAGACATAGATATATACACATAGATACATACACATAGATGCACACAGAGACAGACACACGCACAGATACATACACAGATAGATATATATACATACACATAGATACATACATTCCCACAGACAGACACACACACAGACAGATACATATATATACATATATGCATACACATAGATACATACACATAGATACATACACACAGAGACAGACACACGCACAGACAGATACACACAGACATAGATATATAGATACAGCCATACACACACATACATACAGATACACATACACATATATATACATAGACAGATATATACATACACATACACAAGGACACAGACACATACACACAGATACATACATACAAACATTCACACAGATACATACACACAGACAGATATATACATAGATACATACACATATACATACAGATACATACACAGACATAGATAGATATATACATACACATAGATACATACATACACACAGAGACAGACACACGCACAGACAGATACATACATATAGATATATATATACATACACATACACATAGATACATACACATATATACATACATACACACAGAGACAGACACCCACAGATACACACATATAGATAGATACAGAGATATATAGATACAGACACACACAGATACAGATACATACACAGACATAGATAGATATATACATACACATAGATACATACACATAGATACATACATACACACAGAGACAGACACGCACAGATACAGATACATATAGATATATACATATATACATACACAGATACGTACACATAGATACATACATACGCGCAGAGACAGACACACGTACAGACAGATACACACAGACATAGATATATATACATATATACATACACATAGATACATACACACAGAGACAGCCACACACAGACAGATACATACATATAAATATATATACATATATACATACACATAGATACATACACACAGAGACAGACACGCACAGCAAGATACACACGTATAGATATATATACATATATACATACACATAGATACATACACATACATACATACACACAGAGACAGACACGCACAGCCAGATACACACATATACATATATACATACACATAGATACATACACATAGATACATACATACACAGAGACAGACACACGCACAGACAGATACATGCTTATAACTGCAGGTTACTTTTTTGATGGCGTTAAATAGTGATTTGTGATTGTGGGCCGCTGAGGCAGACTCCATCTCCTCAGCAACCCACAACCACCACCCATCCTTGCAGTGCCTTATGGCTCTCAGAACCTCCGAGCGAAGGCTGCGGTAAGCTCCTCATTTTCTGACGTGGGATGCTGTAGCCGATGAGAGTGGGCCTGTCGCTTTTTCTCAACTATAATGAACACCTCTGTCAGCCAGGGTCTCTGGGGAGGTCTGGACCGCGTACCCAAAGCAGCCATTGCAGCTGCATGAGTCACAGTCCTAAACCTCGCCCATTTACCCTCGACATCTGGATGAGTGGGGGGCGATGCCAACCCCAGCCGCAAACGATGATTAAATTCTCGCTTGCAACTTTCATCAGCTTACTTAGACCTGGCCACCTTAGGTTGGAATGGGGTCTTGGGTGTACACCCACCACCGGAGTGTAAGAATGGCAGGCGCATCTTACAGATGACTAGTCGATGGTCAAGGGGCAGATCTGCTCCACGGTAGGTCCTGGTGTCAAGGACATGGGCTCGCATCCACTGATCCGTCACTATGTAGTCCAGCAGATGTTCTTGCTTGGACCCGGCATGCATCCCATGATGTTGTGTGGATGTGCCAATGCCTGAACAGCGTGTTGGTAATTACAAGCCCATGGACTGCACAAAAATCTAGCAGCCTCCTACCGTTGTTATTGAGCTGATCTGGCCCATGCCTTCCAATCACTCCAGACCAGGTGGCAGCATCATGACCAACTCGGGCATTGAAGTCACCCAACAAGATTACTCTATCCCGAGGGGCCACTTTAGCCAGCATTTGTGACAGGAGGTCATAGAAGGCATCTGACTTATCGGCCTTGCCTGCATCCCTCCACGGATGTTCCTCTTCGGTGGGGGCATATGTAACCACGACCACCACTCCTCGCCTCCGGTTGATGGGAAGGCGAGCCCAAAGTAGCCTGGGGCTTACAGCTTCCAACACCTCAATGCCACGCTCCAACGCCCCCTTCTTTATTTTGTTCAGAAGAAGAGCCACACCCTGTTGTTTGGCAGTCTCCTGCCCCGATTAGAGGACTGTCTACCCCTCATTGTGACAGGAGCCAGAGCCGGTCCACCGGACCTCGTGAATGCCACAGAGATCCAGGTGGTACCAGTCCAGCTCCCGACAGAGTAGTGGCAGCCTCTCCTCTGCAGTGAGCGTTCGAACATTCCACTTGGCCATCCGTAGTGGCTTGTCGTTGTTTCTGGAGGAGATTCAATCTCCTGGCTCCGCCAGATGGGGTTTGGCCAGGAGACGTCATAGACGCCTAGCCCCTCGGGGCCTCCGGCTCAAGCTTATTAGTGAGATATTTTATTCGTGGTTTAGTGGTAATTTATTGAAGGTGGAGGGGTTACCAGCCCCTCGCACCCATCCAGAGCCGCCATTTAGCCACTGTGGTGGTCACAGACGCCATGAGGGGAGAGGGCCAATCAGAATTGGCCCTCCTCCCCACAGCATTGTCAACGACAGTGTTGCCCGTCCGGCACCGCGAGGAGGTGGGGGGTTGTTTATGCACACACACTCACTAACCCACACACACCAACCCACACACTCACCCACTCACCATACTTACCCACCAACCTATACTCACCCACCCACTCACCCACTCACTCACCCACCCACTCACCCACCCACTCACTCACCCACCTACTCACACTCTGCGTGTCTAACTCAGCCCCCCCCCCACCTTTTTCCTCCTCCAGGCAACCCGCTGAGCACTGCCACCACCACCTCCCCCACTACCCCCAAGCCCACCACCCCCACCAACACCACCACCCCCTCCACCACCCCCACAACCCCCACCAACACCACCACCCCCTCCACCACCCCCACCACCCTCACCACCCCCATCACCCCCATCCCTACCACCACCCCCACCACCGCCATCACCACCTCCATCATCACCACCATCACCACCCCCACCACCCCCACCACCACCCCCACCACCCCCACCACCCCCATCACCAACACCCCCACCAACCCCACCAACACCACCACCCCAATCACCACCCCAATCACCACCCCCATCACCACCACCCCCACCAACCCCATCACCCCCACCACCACGCCCACCACCGCCACACACACCCACACACCTACCCACACACAACAACAACCGCCATTCGCCACTAATTGGCGGTGACGTCACCAGGATGCTTGTGCCAGGCCATGTGCACCTTGAGGCCATGTGAAGTGTCGAACGCCCGCTGGCAGGAGGTCACGGAGCAGACCCAGCAGGGGCCACAGGTCGACTGACTGAGACGAGTGGCTGATGCACCACCTGTGCTCCCTACTGTGCCAACTTGTTGTGCTTTAGCCAACCTGGTGCTCCGCTCGTTGTTGTGAGCGTCGCTCCTCCGACCTCCGTTATTGGAGGGCAACTGCCTCCGACTGCCCAGCAGCATCCTTCACGAGCCTCCTCCACAGAGGCTGATCGTGACACCGCTGGTACCAGTCATCGACAAGTCCACTCAGCTCCACATCCTCCTGTACCACATCACTCCATCTCATCTCTAGCCCGTGCCGCACCCATTTAGCCCCCTTTATCCGGCCAAACAAAAGTTGTTGAGACATGTGGTAGCTGGGCATGATGGCTACATGACCCAGCCAACGCAGCCTTGCCTGCCGGAGGACCTCACCGATGGAACTTTGCCCAGATCTTTGAAGGATTTGTGAGCTCACACAATCCAGCCTGCAGGTTAAACCCAGGATGGATTGTAGGCAGGCCAGCCTAAATGTTTCTAACCGGCAAAGATTTTCCATTAGGGGGGTCCACGTTTCGCAAGCATAGAGAAAGGACGGAATGACTGTGGCCGAGAAGACCTGAAGCTTCGTGGGGAGCAACAGACCAGGTAGCTTCCACACAGCGTTACGCAACCGATGAAAGATAATGCCGCTCGACTGATTCGGAGTGAGACCTCTGCTGTCAAACCTGAGCCGGTCATGAGCACACTGCCCAGGTATGGGAAACTCTCCACTCTCTCCACAACTGCCCCATCACCAATTGGGAGTTGTGGGGGTGGAGTGTCCAATGGGACAAAATACCCAGGCAGGTGCTTCATTTTGCTGGGGCTGATGGTAAGGCCCCACACCTCTTAGTGGCACACTCCAGGTTCAGCAGCAGCGCCTCCAACTCCTCCTCTGAGTGAGCAGCAATCACCAGATCATCGGCATACATAACGTGGTTGACCAATAGGGAGCCATCCCTTGACTGCATCCGGGCATCGATCAGCCTCCCATTGTATCTGTACCAGATGGAAATTCATACGGTACAGCCATCGAAAGTTTCACAAACTACGTGGTCGAAAAATATATATTCAATAATGTGGGAGCCAGAGGACATCCCTGTCGCACCCAAGGTGTACAGCGAATGGCTCCGACTCCCGGCCATATAATTTTACCCGGGCCCGCTCACCATCATGAAGGTCCTTAATGATCATGAGCAGAGGGTCAGGGACTCTGAAAGCACAACGAACAACCCAGAGCCCAGGCCTACTGATGTAGGTCTTGTTGGAATTCTCTACACCTCTGCTGTAGCAGACGGACAGAAATATGGCATCTGTGCTGGACCGCCCTTTCCTGAAACCGCATTGGGGCTCCACAAGCCTCTACTCAGCGTGCCTGGAAAGGCGATGTTGAATAATCCTTGCCAGGACCTTTCCCGGCACATTGCGGAGTGAGATGCCCCTGTAGTTGTTACAGTCTGTGTGGTCCCCGTTCATAAAGAGGGGGACCACCAGGACATCCTTCCAATCCTGCAGAAATCATCCAGTGGTCCCGACTGTTGATATGATATCCTGTAGGACAGTCTGTGCACAAACATCACCCGCCCTCAGCATTTTGCTTGGGAGATCATCTCTGTCCGGTGCCTTTCCTGGTCTCAGACTCTGGATCGCCTTCAGTACTTCCTCAACAGATGGCACCTCAGCCAGCCACTCACAGGGGGTTACTTCCTCCTCCAATATTTGAGACACCGCAGCCTCAGCAGGGTCATCCCCACTTTGTCCAACAATGCTTTTCCCTCCTCCAGGACTTCACAGAAATGTTGAGCAAATCTGCAAAACTGGTGCTTGGGTTGGAGATTGGATCATCGTTTTTTCCCCTAATGTTGGTAATAGGTGTGGCGCTGCAGGTTACTTTTAGATGGAGTTAAATAATGATTTGTGATCGCGGGCCATTGAGTCAGACTCGTTCTCCTCACGCAACCTGCGACCACCACCCATCCTTACAGCTCCTCACGGCTCTCCGAACCTCCGAACGAAGGCTGTGATTAGCCTTATTCTATGACGTGGGATGCTGCAAACGATGAGAGTGGGCCTGTCGCTTTTTCTCAGTCAGCTTGAAAAACCTCCTTTGTCAGCCAGGGTCTAGGGGAGGTGTGGACCATGTACCCAAAGCAGCAATTGCAGCTGCATGAGCCACAGTCCTAAACCTTGTCCATTTCCCCTCGTCATCTGGAAGAGTGAGGGACGATGCCAACCACAGCCGCAAGCGATTATTACATTCTTGTTTGCAACTTTCATCAGCTAGCTGAGACCAGACCACCTTGGGTTTCAATGGGTGGACACCCACCACAGATAACAAGTCGATGGTCTGTGGGCAGATCAGCTCCACCACGACCACCACTCCTCGCCTCCGGTTGATGGGAAGGCAAGCCCAAAGTAGCTTGGGGCTTACAGCTTCCCACACCTCACCGCCACTCTCCCACGCCCCCTTCATTCTGTTGTTCAGAAGAAGAGCCACTCCCTGTTGTTTGGTAGTCTCCTGCCCTGTGTAGAGGACTGTCCACCCGTCATGTTGGCAGGTGCCAGAGCCGATCTACCGGACCTCCTGAATACCACAGAGATCCAGGCGGTACCGGTCCAGCTCCCGACAGAGGAGTGGCAGCCTTTCCTCTGTATTCAGCGTTAGAACATTCCACGTGGCCATCCGCAGTGGTTTTTTTGTCTTCTGGCTCCACCAAATGGGGTTTGGCCAGGAGACGTCATAGACGCCTGTCCCCCTGGGGCCTCCGGCACAAGCTTATTAAGTAGATATTTTATACGTGGTTTAGTGGTAATTTATTGAAGGTGGAGGGGTTACCAGCCCCTCGCACCCGTCCAGAGCCCCCATTTGGCCGCTGTGGTGGCTACAAACGCTATGACGGGAAAGGCCATCTCAGTTGGCCCTCCCCCCTTGGCACTGCCCACCACAGCGTTGCCGTCCGGCACCACGAGGAGGTAGGGGGTTGTTTTTGCCGGATTACACACATGCACACACATAGACACACAAAACACATATACCCACACACACCCCACCCTACCCACCCCCCCTCGCCCCCCCTCGCTCCCCCCTCATCCCCCCCCTTATTCCCCCCTCATCACCTCCCGAGCCCCCCCTCACCCCCTAACCCCCCCTCTTCCCCACCCCCCCCCCACCCCCACACGAGGGATGAGGAATTTTTATTGTATTCTTCAACAGTCAAAATGTTTAAACTTCCAAATGGCCACTCGCACAACGACGCCGCCCGCAGCCCAAGGTGACCACGTGGTGCTGCTCTTGATGTCACCAGGCGCCATTTTATTGGTGTGGGGGGGTGGGGGGGCGACCATAATGACGTCACCCCTCTCCCCCCCCCCCCCCCCCTCAGTGTGACGTCAAAATCTCGGATCGTTCGCACGACGACGTGGTGACAACTTACGGTGCCACGTGCTGCTGCTGGTGATTGTGATGTCACCAGGCGCCATTTTATTGGTGTGGGGGGGGGGTGTAGACGACCCCATTGACGTCACCACCATGTCCTTACCCCCCCCCCCCAGTGTGACGTCACAATCGCGGACTGTTCGGTAACAACTCATGGTGCCACGTGCTGCTGCTGCTGATTGTGATGTCACCGGACGCCATTTTTGGGGGAGGGGGTGGGCTATGCCAGTGATGTCATCATCCCACCCCCCCCACCCCCATTGTGACGTCACAACCTCGGATCGTTCGATGCGTGCTGTGGAATCGTCTAAGAGTTTGGTAATCGCCGATCCGAGCGTTCGGTTGCGTCTTTATGCTGTGAAAGTTGTCGTCGTTGTTGTTGTTGATGTTATTATGTTGACCAGTTTCACAAGACAAGTGCCATGTAACATTACAGTTACATTGTTATTAAAGACAGTGCCATGTAACATTACAGTTACATTGTTAGTAAAGACAGTGCCACATTACACTACAGGGTGTTTCAAAAAGGATGGACCCGATCTGAAATCGCAAAATCTCTGCAACTACGAACCGCTCATGAATTAAACTCTTACCACTTGAAAGGGCGGGAAATAGAGTTTCAAATGATTACCGCTCGATGCCTCTCCCAGCGCACAAACAGCCTCTAGCCTCAGTCGTTCACAAGGCGGTGACCCCCGCAATGCAAGGGGCGATTTGCGTTCTGCAGTTCGGCGAGACTGAATCCGTAATTGCGGTGCGGCGTGCGTTTCAACGGCGTGTTGGCATTGATCCGCCAATGTCGAAGCGCATGGTGGCACAAGAGACGGTGGTGTTTTTGTGCCACCATTAGCGACTAATCTGGATGACCTCAAAAACAGAATCACGGCAGCGGTGACTTCAGTGGAAGAGACACTTTGAGAGGCGTTTGGGACGAATTCAACTATCGTCTCGATGTTGTCCGTACAGCAGGTGGAGGGCACTTAGAGCATTTATAAACTGGTTAGTAAAACTTGATAATTTTTGTGTAATTGTAACATGTTGCCATCGAGAAATATACTGCTTTTAAATTGGGTCCATCTTTTTGAAACACCCTGAAAGCAATCTTGATTTGAAGCTTTCGTGACTGCAGGAATCCATACTCTTTGGTTCTTTCGGTAAAGTCACGTAGGTAGAATAAAATAAAATAAAACAAATCGACGTTTTATAGTAACATTGTTATTAAAGACAGTGGCATGTAACATTATAGTGACATTAGTTTTAAAGACAAAGCCATCATAGATTTTGTATCAGTCACGTTGTATCTCCATGTTCACCGCAAAGTACCGCTTGTGGTATTTGACCACCTCAACACAGCCCCTGCCGTGTTGTTTAACAAAAACAATTTGTCAAACAACAGCGAGTAGTCTATTACACTGGTCAACACACTTTTTCTGGCATAAGGTATTCCAACGGGTTTAAGATAATTTTGGGGTGCTGATTCCAAATCTGGCATCAGTTTTTGTCTATCACATCAGGTTTTTGAGATATCAAATATTGCATTTTCAATAAAAACTGCAGAAGAAAAATATTAAATAAATGTGGATATCTACATAAAATTATATTATAAACACACTATCCTAAAAATACAGCACCATATTTTAACACTAAAGCAGTCACTGACTCGCAACAATTTGCAATCATAAGTGACAGTTAATTTTGGGTAAAATCAATGAAAATGGGGAATGCCGATAGCATAAAATTAGATGTGATTGAGCAAATCTGAGATCAGATTTGGAATCAGCACCCTGAAATTAGTCTAAAACAGCTGCAAAAGTCCAGACCAGAAAAAAATGTTTTTTTTGTTGACCAGTGTTATTATTATTGTTTTTTGTATTTCAAAGCTCTTATAGTGGCAACGGCGATGCCGAACGTGATGTTGCGTTGATGTTTACTCGGGCGACTTTCATTTCGTAACAGAGGTGGGTTTTTTTTTGTTCCCTTGTTCGGTTTGATCATCGCGGAAATGTGAAAATGTCGCGTCGGTCAAAACCCGCCACGCTGCCCGACACGGCCAACTCAGTCATTCGCTGCTAGTACAGCACTAGTGTATAGTGTAGTGTATAGTTTAGTGTATAGTGTAGTGTATAGTGTGTAGTGTATAGTGTGTAGTGTATAATGTAGTGTATAATGTAGTGTATAGTGTAGTGTATACTATACAGTGTATACTATACACTACACTCTACACTACATTTTACACAAAACTATACACTACAATACACACTACACTACACTATACACTACAAACTGCACTATACACTACACTATAAACTGCACTATATACTACATTATACACTACACTATACACTACACTATACACTACACTATACACTAGTGCTGTACTAGTGACGAATTGCCAGCTTCTGTTTACGTGACACTCAACCCACATTGACTGATTGGCTGTGTCGGGTGGTGGCGGGTTGCACTACGACGACACAAACATGTTTTTATTGACGCCATGAAACCCAGCAGAAGCCGCTCTGTATGGATGATGTTGGTAGCGAAAGCCACCGATGTGATGGTAAATGTTGTGGATTTTCTTTTGAACACACCGGTGTGCTGTAGTAGTATACTACACTATACACTACACTACTACACTATACATACACTATACACTACACTATACACTACTATACACTACACTACTACACTATACACTACACTATACACTACTATACACTACACTATACACTACACTATACACTACTATACACTACTACACTATACACTACACACTACACTATACACTACACTACTATACAAGACACTATACACTACAATACTATACACTACACTACTATACAATACACTATACACGACACTATACACTACACTACTATACACTACACTATACACTACACTATACACTACTATACAATACACTATACACGACACTATACACTACTATATACTACACTACTATACACTACTATACAATACACTATACACGACACTATACACTACACTACCACCACCACACCACCACCGCACCACCACGTGACTGTGACGTCGCGATTGACGTAGAATCTCTCCCCCGGGGATGCAAATTGATGGTCCCCCCCGTCACGGTGATCGTGACCCCCCCCCCTCACCCACCCACTCACCCCTCCACTCACCCCTCCACTCACCCCTCCACTCACCCCTCCACTCGCCCACTCACCTCTCAACTCACCCAATCACTCACCCACTTACTCCTCCACTCACCCCTCCACTCACCCACCCACTCACCCACTCACCCCTCCACTCACCCACTCACCCCTCCACTCACCCAATCACTCACCCAATCACTCACCCTTCCACTCACCCAATCACTCTCACACTCACCCACCCATCCACCCCCCCCCCCCCACGCACTCACCCACTCACCCCTCCACTCACCCACCCACTCACCCCTCCACTCACCCACCCACCCACCCACCCACTCACCCACCCACTCACCCACTCACCCCTCTACTCACCCACCCACTCACACACCCACCACTAACCAACCCACCCACCCCCCCATCCCCTCCTCCAATGATGATCGATCCAATCCTCAATACAGCGAATGTGTCGATGTGATTGTCTCGTGTGGTACTTTATTCATGTTGCAGTTGTTGTGGTGTTGTGTGGGTTGTTGTGTGTGGGTTGTTGTTGTGTGCGTGTGTGAGGGTGAGTGTGTGTGTGAATGCGGTTTCAGGAAAGGGCGGTCCTGCACAGACGCCATATTTTCTGTTCGTCTGCTACAGCAGAGGTGTAGGGAATTCCAACAAGACCTACATCTCTGCTTTATTGACCTGGTCAAGGCCTATGATACTATCAGTAGACCTGTGCTCTGGATTGTTCTTCGTGCTTTCGGAGTCCCTGACCCTCTGCTCACGATCATTAAGGACCTTCATGGTGGTGAGCGGGCCATTCCCTGTACACCTTGGGGTGCAACAGGGAGGTCCTCTGGCTCCCACATTATTTAACATCTATTTTGACCACGTAGTTCGTAAAGCCTTCAATAGTTGTACCGGAGGAATTTCCATTTGGTACAGATATAATGGGAGGCTGATCGACGCCCACGTGCGATCAAGGGATGGCTCCCTATTGGTCAACCACGTTATGTATGCCGATGATTTGGTAATAGCTGCTCATTCAGAAGAGGAGTTGGAGACGCTGCTGCTGAGACTGGAGCGTGCCACTAAGAGGTGGGGCCTTACCATCAGCCCCACCAAAACTAAGCACCTGCCTGGGTATTTTGTACCATCGGACACTCCACCCCCACAACTCCCAATCAGTGATGGGGCAGTAGTGGAGAGAGTGGAGAGTTTCTCATACCTGAGCAGTGTGCTTATGACCGGCTCCAGTTTAACAGCAGAGGTCTCACTCCGAATCAGTCGAGTGGCAATATCTTTTCATCGGTTGCGTAACGCTGTGTGGCAGCTACCTGGTCTGTCGCTCCGCATGAAGCTTCAGGTCTTCTCGGCCACAGTCATTCCCTCCCTTCTCTACGTGTAGGAAACGTGGACCCCCTAATGGAGCATCTTCGCCAGTTGGAAACATTTAGGCTGGCCTGCCTACGATCCATCCTGCGTTTAACCAGACTGGATTGTGTGAGAAGCTCACAAATCCTTGAAAGATCTGGGCAAAGTCCCATCGGTGAGCTCCTCCGTCAGGCAAGGCTGCGTTGGCTGGGTCATGTAGCCCGCATGCCCAGCCACCACATGCCTAAACAGCTTTTGTTCGGCCGGATCGAGGGGGATAAACGGGCGCTGCACGGGCTAGAGAAGAGATGGAGTGATGTGGTACAGGAGGACGTGGAGCTGAGTAGACTTGCCAATGACTGGTACCAGCAGTGTCAAGATTGGCCTCTGTGGAGGAGGCTCGTGAAGGACGCTACTGGGCAGTTGAAGGCAGTAGCCCTCCAACAACAACGGAGGGCGGAGGAGTGACGCTCACAACAACGAGCGGAGCTCCGGGTGGCCAAAGCACAGCAAGTTGGCACAGTAAGGGGCACAGGTGGTGCATCAGCCAGTCGTCTCGGTCATCTCGGTCAGTCGACCCGTGGCATCTGGGTCTGCCCCGTGATCTCCTGCCAGCGGGCGTTCGACACTTCACGTGGCCTTAAGGTGCACATGGCTTGGCACAAGCGTCGTGGTGACGTCACCGCCACTTAGTGGCGAATGGCGGTTGTTGTGTGTGTCAGTGTGTGTGTGTGGATGAGTGTGTGGGTTCGGTGAGTGGGTGGGTGAGTGGGTTGGAGAGTGGGTGAGTGGGTGTGTTTGTGGGTGTGTGTGTGGGTGGGTGGATGGGTGTGTGTGTGGGTGGGTGGATGGGTGTGTGTGTGGGTGTGTGTGTGGGTGAGTGGGTGTGTGAGTGAGTGGGTGAGTGTGTGGGGGTGTGTGTGTGGGTGGGTGAGTGTGGGTGGGTGAGTGGGTCAGTGTGTGGGTGGATATGTGTGTGGGTGATTATGTGAGTGGGTGAGTGGGCGGGTGTGTGTGGGTGTGTGTGTAGGGGTGAGTGGGTTAGTGGGTGGGTGGGTGAGTGGGTGAGTGAGTGAATGAGTGGCTGTGTGTGTGTGGTGTGTCTGTGTGTGTATGTGTCTGTGTGTGTAGTGGTGTTTCTATGTGCATCACGACAGGAACACGCACGTGCAGCGACATTAATGGAGCCCACTCCGGCGTTTATCGCCCCCTACCGATAACAAAGTGGCGCTGTGCATGCAGTGGCATCGGTGACGTCACTGCGTGGTGCCGGGCTGAGAGGGCCAGCCCAAGCGGGGCTGGGTGTGGCACCAGCCCTGCCGGGGCTGGGTGTGGCACCAGCCCTAGCGGGGCTGGCTGGGCTGGGTGAGCGCTGGCACCACGCGTGGCGTGTGGTTGGGGGTCTCCCACAAGGGGGAGCGGGAGAGCGTCGCCCCAAGGGATTTCTTCACACAGCGTTGGTGTCCGGTGCCTTTTCTGCAATATTTTGCCGTCTCTTCTTGGATTTTCTGTTTGCACTTAGTCACATAGTCACTTCAAGATGTTCCCTTGTTCATGTTTTTGTTTGTTGTTTGTTGCGGTTGCACCCGATTCAAGAGCCAAATGGCTCACAGCGCTCAACACCAAATAAATGAAAACTGATCAGAGGGAGAGGGTTACCCCGGGCCGTGGCACTCTGGGTAACCCCGTAGACACGTGACCCGGAGTGTCCACAGAGAGGACCCCAGGTGGGGGAGGGGCTAGGGGTGGTCACGTGTCTGGGCGGAGCTCTCCACCACCACCTCCACCATCACCGTCATCATCAAGACCACCATCATCACCACTATAACCATCACCTCCACCATCACCACCTCCATCACCACCATCACCACCTCCATCATCACCACCTCCATCATCACCACCTCCATCACCACCATCACCACCTCCACCATCACCACCTCCATCACCACCTCCATCACCGCCATCACCAACACCACCATTACCACCACCACCATCACCACCACCTCCATCACCACCTCCATCACCACCACCATCACCACCACCATCACCACCACCATCACCACCTCCTCCACCACCTCCTCCACCCCCACCAAGTGACGGTGACGTCACCACAGCGCCTGTGCCAGGCTAGGTACACCAGGAGGTCACGGGACAGACCCAGCGGGTGCCATGGGTTGTACCGACTGAGATGTGTGAACACCACAACTTCACGGCGCGTATGATGGTTAAATGCGAGTATATTTATTCCTTTGCAAAACAAAGTTTCTAATTGGTGTTACAACATCTTCACACAATCACCGCTTTGTCACTGCCGGAAAGGGGTGAGGACAAATCTTAGACCGGGGGGATCACCACTCCACGTTCTCGCCACGGGTACCCTGTGTGGTTCATGCGGCGACGTCAACGTTAACACAGTAACGTCAATGTCAACACAGTAATGTCAATGTTAACACAGTGACGTCAATGTTAACACAGTAATGTCAATGTTAACACGGCAACGTCAATGTCAACACAGTCAATGTTAACACAGTAATGTCAATGTTAACACATTAATGTCAACACAGTAATGTCAATGTTAACACAGTAATGTCAATGTTAACACAGTAACGTCAACACAGTAATGTCAATTTTAACACAGTAATGTCAACACAGTAATGTCAATGTTAACACAGCGACGTTAACGCAGTAATGTCAATGCAGTGACGTCACCGCAGTAACTTCAATGCAGTGACGTCACCGCACTTACTGCAGCGGTAGTCCACAACCACCGCTCCTCACGCACCGCGACATCGTCGCTCGTTGCCCTCGTGGGAAGCTGCTATACGTTCCCGTGCCGTGACGTCATCAGCAGTGCCGTGACGTCATCAGCAGTGCCGTGACGTCATCAGCAGTGCCGTGACGTCATCAGCAGTGCCGTGACGTATCTGTCTGTGCCGTGACGTATCACCGGTGACGTATCGGCCGTGCTGGTAATGTATCAGCAGTGCTGGTAATGTATCTGTCTGTGCCGTGACGTATCGCCGGTGACGTATCGGCCGTGCCGGTGAAGTATCTGTCTGTGCCGTGACGTATCGGTGCGTGCCGTGACGTATCGGCGCGTGCCGTGAGCAGTTGCCGGCACGGTGCGGCGATACCCGGTGCAGATTTGTGGTTCTGGTTTTGGGCAATGGGATCGGTGAGGGGGGAAGCTCCTTCACAATCGGCTGGTCCGGTACACCGTGAGTAGATAGATAGATAAACGTGTCTATGTGTGTCTATATATATACGTGTGTCTGTGTATGTATATATGTCTATGTGTCTCTATGTATATATGTGTGTATGTCTATGTGTGTCTATATATATATGTGTATCTGTGTATGTATATATCTCTATGTGTCTCTATATATATATGTCTATGTGTCTATGCGTGTCTATATATATACGTGTGTGTCTATGTGTGTCTATATATATGTGTGTCTATGTGTATCTGTGTATATATCTCTATGTGTCTCTATGTATATATGTGTATGTCTATGTGTGTCTATATAGATGTTGCGCCACACCAAGGCGCTGTGGGTATTCTTATGGTCACCACCCTCACAGGCCGATAGGGGGCAGCCGAGAGAGTGATCGGGAGGTGTGGGGGTTGACCTGGAGTAACCCCCCCCCCCCCCCCGGGTACCTCGTGACCGGGGGTAGAGACCCCAGACCTCCAAGGGGGTGGGGGCTGGGGGCCAACGGTTCATTTCAGACCCTTCCAGACACTTCTGGATGGTTCTGGGGGGGAAGGTTGTGGCTAGGGGCGGGATTAGCCCCAACTTGTGTATAAAAGCCGGCCCTCTCAACGGGACCGGCAGAGTTCATCCACTCAAGACCCGAAGACGCCTGAAGACTTGAACACTCGGCCAGCACCCTGGGACCCTCAACCGAGGCTCTAGTAAGAGCCGCGTTGTAGCGGACCAACGGTGAGACCCGTACACCCTGGCGAGGTCGGGTCAGCCCAGCCTCCCCTAGGTCCAGTAGCGGAGGACCCGAGAGAGCGGAGCCTGTAGGGCCCCGCTGGAAGGGAGGCAGTACCTCCCTTAGGTTATCGGGTGAAGGGGCCGTACCCCTTCAGTGTTGCGGGTGTTATTAACGTTTGTTGAAAAGACGCATTGCCTCCAAGAGAAGTTTCGCTCCACGTTTCTACCCACAACATATATATGTGTCTGTGTGTGTGTGTGTCACTGTGTGTGTGTCTGTGCGTGTCTGTGTGTGTGTCTGTGTGTATCTGCATGTGTGTCTGTGTGTAGTCCGGCAAAACAACCTCCTACCTCCCCGTAGTGCCGGACGGGCAACATTGTCGTGGTCAGTGCCGTGGAGGGAGTGCCAATTCCGATGCGTCTATCCCATCATGGCGTCTGTGACCATCACAGCGGCTAAATGGGGGCTCTGGACTGGTGCGAGGGGCTGGTAACCCCTCCACCTTCAATAAATTACCACTAAACCAGGCGAAAAATATCTAATTAAAAAGCTTGTGCCGGAGGCCCTGGGGGAACAGGCGTCTATGACGTCTCCTGGCCAAACCCCAATTGGCAGAGCCAGGAGATTGAATCTTCACCCTCGGGACTCCTCCAGAAACAACGAAAAGCCACTTCGTGTGGCCACATGGAATGTTCGAACGCTTACTGCGGAGGAGAGGCTGTCACTCCTCTGTCGGGAGCTGGACCGGTACCGCCTGGATCTCTGTAGCATTCAGGAGGTCGGGTGGACCGGCTCTGGCTCCTGCCACCATGTGGGGTGGACAGTCCTCTACTCGGGCCAGGAGACTGCCATGAGGGGGTAGACCCATCGGATCGAGAGGGAGCCTTCTCCAGCTCCCTCTCGAGAGCTCCGCCCAGACACGTGATCACTCCGGATCACGTGTCTACGGGGTCAACCAGAGTGCCACGGCCTGGGGCAACCCTCAACCTTGGGCCGACGCTCTCCCGCTCCCCCTTCGTGCTTTCGGAGTCCCTGACCCCCTGCTCATGCTCATTAAGGACCTTCATGATGGTGAGCGGGCCCGGGTAAAACTACGTGGCCGGGAGTCGGAGCCTTTCCCTGTGCACCTTGGGGTGCGACAGGGATGTCCTCTGGCTCCCACATTATTTAACATCTATTTTGACCGCGTAGTTCGTGAAGCCTTCAATAGCTGTACCGGGGGAATTTCCATTTGGTACAGATATAATGGGAGGCTGATCGACGCCTGGGTGCGATCAAGGGATGGCTCCCTATTGGTCAACCACGTTATGTATGCCGATGATTTGGTAATAGCTGCTCATTCAGAAGAGGAGTTGGAGGCGCTGCTGCTGAGACTGGAGCGTGCCACTAAGAGGTGGGGCCTTACCATCAGCCCCAC